TCCATTACAGTCCAACCCTCGTCGTTTCCGAGACGGGCGTTCGAACACACTCCAGAGGGAGCTCAACCCCGAACTAAGTAGAAACATCGTATGCAGTCGACGACCATCCGCTGTTTCCGAAACCAACCTCAGCGCGGGGGTATGCACCCCAGCTGGTCGCGAGTAGCACGGCTGGGTCAGAGTCCGTGCAAGTGATTGTGACAGGCTTCGTTTCACAAACAACTGATATCTTGTACACACCGTCATCAAACTGCGGAGGTTTCACAACATTCGAGCAGCTGAGTTCCTTGTCTTCTCCGCGGACCTTTCACATACGCGTGACGGAAAATTCAAACATGTTTAGATGCTCCTCACAACTAAAATCCTCTTCACTTCGCCGGTCCCTGTCTCTTTGCGTAGCCGAGCATGTTTGAGATCGTGAACGCCACCAGTTCCAATGACGGCGCTCGGACACGAGCCGATGAATTCCGCATCAGATTCAATCTGCATGACATGATTAGAAAATGATCTCATGACGAAGGAGCGAGACAGTGGTTCAAGAACAGCCTAGCGGCTCACATTAGCGTTGTGCATGCCGCCGAAATATCGAGCGAAAGCGATTCCAAGTTCTTGGCTCGGAAAGGTAACACGTACAATGGTGCTTCCACATAGGACCTAAGATGTGATCCCCTATGAGATATTGCGTTAGGTATGACGAAAGGCGAGACGGGGAAACCTTGCCTGGACATTGTAGGAAGTTCCTTGTGAAGTTATGTCCGAGGAGACGCCCTCACAATTATAGACGAAAGCTTTGCCACTGTCATCATTGATCTGAAGTGATATGCATGCGAATTAGATAGGCTGTAGTCTATCTCACCTCGATAACCCTAGTCTGTAGAGCTCCCGTCGAGGCATATACCAACTTAGCAACATTCACAGTGCCTGTGACCTGGTCCTGCACGCTCGCAGTAGAATCAGATACCATATCGGAGGACATGTAGATCTGATAACCCAGTAGTGTGAGCTACATCACAGAGATTAATTAAACCATGGAAATAAGGAGTGAATCATCGAGCGTTACAGTATCAACATACCTCGGATTTGGCAATATCTCCCCATCTCACAGCCCACTTCACCGCTGTCTCAGCACGTT